CGTGACGTGAGGTTTTGGGGGGGTGATTTTCTTTTCTCTTCCTTTTAATCGATAAATCATTTGTGAATGCCTTTAATAGAGATCAATGAAAGCCAGCCTCCACCTTATTATGAAATTGGTATTTGCAACCTTTAAATATGGGGTGTGTCATCTTAGGAGTCTATAGATTCTCTAAAAACTGGAAACCCCCCTTCCAGAAATCTAACATTGCTTCCGCCTCGTCGACCCCCACCCCAGGCTCACCGCCGTGAGTCAGGCGGCGAAAGGTCTGCTTTGCCCCTCGTTTGGCAAGCTGCTCTACCCTAGAGCTTGCTCTCCTCTACACCTAGAAGAAAGTGTACCCATTTCTGACCACCTCCTGGCGAGCAGAACCTCAAAGAACGTCTGACCCAACACAGTCCCCCTCCAGCACGGCCAGTAGCCAGCAGAGTTGGGGCAGGGCTCTGGACAAGAGTGCTGGCGTCCGAGTCTCCATGTAACCGTGCCCACGCTTAGTGACATGGGCCTCAGCCCCCTCCCCTTATGACTGTCGTGGGGGGGGGGGGTTATCACATAGGCACGCTTGAGGCTCCGGGGGAGTCCTCCAATGGCGTGTGCCAGGACAAGTCTACGACACAAGGCAAATAAGCTTTTAAAGGTTATCATTACCTGAGACCTGATCACATCAACGTCATGACACATCGCTCCTTAAAACGTGGAGAACGGGGAGGGTGCCTGAGTGGCTAGTTGGTCCGACTTCGGCTCAGGTCACGATCTCATGGTGCGTGAGTTCGGGCCCCGCATCCGGCCCTGGGCTGACGGCTCGGAGCCTGGGGCCTGCTTCGGATTCTGTGTCTCCCTCTCTCCCTCTTTGTCCCTCTCCTGCTCACTCTCTTGTCTCTCTCAAAAATAAACATTAAAAAAAAATTAAAATAAAAACATGGAGAACTGGATGAACGGCTTGATATTTGCCTACAGCACTGTGGAGTTTGCAAAGCCCTCTACAATCAGAATTTCCCTTTATGTTCCCAACACCCAAAACGTACACAGGACAGTTGGGATCCCAGCTCTGTGGATGAGAAATCTGAGGGCCTAGATGGAGAGGTCGCCTTCTCAAGGTCACACAGGCCCAAGATGCAAACTCAATTCAAGATTTGTGATTTCGAGGCTCAGAGAGTTCCGGAGGGTGTCGGAATTGAGGAGATGCCTTCATGACTCCTGCCTAGATGGTGTGAGGAGACTACTGACCTCGAGCTTGAATGTGGTCCTCAGCTCTCAGCCGAAGGAGCCTCTGTCCTCTTAGGGCCCTGAGAAAGCAGGGTCCATGACTGTCACGGCTCTTTTCCTGCCATCCGGCATAATGCCTGGCACAGGACAGGGGATCGGACCATGTTTGTAGAACGGGTGGGAGAATGAATGATGGCCTGCTGTACGTATGGACGCATGGGTTGACGGAAGGTGGTTAAGGCCATTGGAGGTGTACCATCTCGAGTCGTGATCTGCCTCCATCCTGTTCGGTGTGTGCCTTTGGAGGAGCCCCTTACCCCCTCTGAGCCTCAGTTCCCATATCTGGAAATGGGGTGATGGCGTCTACGTCATAGGTATCATGAAGATATCGGCAATCCATGCAAACCCACAGCGTCGCACCTCGTTTGAAGACATGCTTCCATGATGGTAGTTATTTCTACTTGCTCCTTTAGGGGTTTGGATTGCCCCCCCCAAGCCACCCACCTCCTTCTACTCCTGCCCACTCTTGGTCTCGTCCAGCCCGTGGGATTGATCCCTGGTCAACCTTGGTGGCCGGCCAGTCATTACTCTAGCCCTGTCTGACCCAAGAAGCTCACTGGGGCCAGGCCTGGGCTCCCTTTCCGTGCATCCTACAACCCAGTCACCTCTGTGACCAGACCCCTAGGGGCAGAACTGGTATGGCCATTGGATTCAACCTTGTAGGATCCAGGCGACTGGGAACTTGTATGCTCTGGGGGAGATCTTCCGCTGGGATTGACGCTGGGCAATGGAAGGGAAAGGGGAGGAAGGTTCTTCCCTCTCTCCTCCTTTCTTCACCTCTACTCTTCCTCAGTCAGGATGCTTCCTGCTGCTTAAAATAAGAAACCCCAACTCGACTTAAACAGTAGGAAAGCTGTGGCACAGCCGAAGGCCCAGAGGTGGGCCAGACCAGTGAGGTTTCCACATGGTCACAAGATGGCTGCTGAAGCTCCGAGCATCACATGTAAATGTGACGAAGACAAGCAGGGTGGGACGTCATTAATTCTGGGAGAGAAAACTTCCCTAGGAGAAACAGCTTCTTCCATTCACTAACTCAAGCTCGTGCAACCCCAAGCAGGCTGGCTATACTTGGCGCCTCCTTGGTTTGAAGTGTCCATGGCCCCAGCCTGACCTGGGCAACAGGCTTTGGGTAAAAGACTCCAGAGCCCTACTCTCCTCCATAAAGGTGATGCAGCCACTTTATTGTCTGTTCAATATGTCCTTTGATGGGGGCCGACCCACTGGGCTGGCCTGGAATATTAGTTGGGTTAATTGTCCCTTCAAATGAACAACCAGTTTAATCAAGGACTTAATGCCCTCAGCCATTCAATTATGCTTGCCTCTGGACATGCGATTCCATTACCGCCCCAGCGCCTTCCGTGCAGGGAGAATGAGATTGGCTGCGGGGTGCGTGTGTGTGTGTGTGTGTGTGTGTGTGTGAGAGAGAGAGAGAGAGAGAGAGCAAGAGAGAGAGCGAGTTTGATGTCTATGGGGTTAATACTCTTTAAATTACATTATTTAGGGGCGCCTGGGTGGCTCAGTCAGTTATAAGCGTCCGACTTTGGCTCAGGTCACGATCTCACCGTTCACGAGTTCGATCCCTGCATCAGGCCCCGTGCTGACAGCTCAGAACCTGGAGCCTGCTTCAGATTCCGTGTCTCCGTCTCTCTCTGCCCCTCCCCTGCTCACGCTCTGTCTCTGCCTCTCAAAAATAAATAAGCCTTAAAAAATTAAAAAAAAATAAATGAAATTATTTAAATCAATTCAGTCCATAAAGACCCACATGTATACCCACATACATCCGTAAACCCAAATGCAGCCGCTGTTCCCTCTACAAGAACAAAACAAACCAAATAAAAAAAAACTTTACTCCAGAGTTTTTCATAGAATATATTAGAATGTTCATTTTCCAACACAAAAACAAAATGTGGTTAGAACGCAGAAATATGTTCATCACCAGGAGAATGGCAAAATGTTTTATGGCACATTATGTAATACGATGCAGCCATTCCAAGGTTGATGCGTATACGTATTCACTGACATATATAGGACATGTTTTTGAATTTACAAAAAAGGTTGCGAAGAGACGTGATCCATTGGTAGAAAATTATGCTTATTCGGATCTATATGAGTATTTATGGAGAGAGACTTGTCCAAAAGAATACCCCCCCCCCCCCATTTCCCCACTGTTTAATCTGGGTGGCAAGATTGGGGACTTAGCCTTATTTTCATTTTTAAAAATTTCCTAGCATTTCCTCCCCCCCTTTCCAGAGCCCCATCCTCCAGGTAGAGATCACACTTGTCCCCGCTCTGAGATGTCTCAAGCCCTGCATGGGACTCGGGGGATAGATGTGGCCCCAAACCTGTCACCCACTCCCTTTGGACACCTTTGGACTCAATTCGCCCCTCCAGGAAATAGCAATGCTCTTTACTCTGACAACTTGGAAGGACTTTTACTTGTTTGTGATGATAAGCATGATACATGCTCACTGATAAAAACTTAAAAAAGGGCAGGAAAGTATGTGGAAGGAAACGTGACCTATTATCACATCAGCCAAAGATGCCAACCGTTAACATCTTGGTATATTTTCTTCTAGGCTTCTTGTCTAGGCATCATGGGGGTCAAAAGCTGGAGGCAGGCGTACGCGTGTGTGCTGAGTCTGTAGTGGGAGGCCCTGTATTTTGGGTCTAGCACCTGCCGCCGAGCAGCTGGGTGACCATGGGGGCATTCCCCTCTCCCAGCCCATTTCCTTATCCATACCTTAGCTCTGGCGCTGTTCCTGACCTGGCCGGAGGCACTATTGTAATACTTTAATACTGTTTTATAACTCCTCCCCCTCCCCGCCCCCAAGCCTCATCCATTTCTCCCCTTCCATAGCGTGACCCGAAACAGCGTCCTCGATGATTCCTGGCCCCAGCTTCACACTAGAATGGTCTGGGGAGCTTATAAAATACTCATGGGTGTGCTCCACCCCGGAAGAATTAAATAAGAATTGTGGGGGTGGGGCCCTGGCATTGGTATTTCTGGAAAGTTCCCCAGAGTATCCTAATGTGAGCCAGGCTGCGAACCACTAGTGCTTGCCAAAGTGCTTTCGAAAGGCCAGGACTACAGGAGCAGAAGGTTTATTACTATTAGTTACGGAGGTTTCCCTGGAGGTGGGGAGGGGGGTGGAAACGGGTTTCCTGACCCCTCCTGGCCCTTACCTGATCCTTCCAGGGAGGCACATTACCAAAATCACAATCTCTTGCTCAGAGGGGGGCTCTCGGACTCACAAAGCATTTTCCTGTGATTCCTGGAGGTGGGTTTACGAGGTTTTGAGCGTTGATGGTGTGCCGGGCACCGTGCTACGAGGTGCATTTACGTGCATAACAAGTCAGTCCCTCACAGCGTGGGGCACCTTGGCCACATGCACCGACATTCAGAATGTGCACAGCGATTTCATTCTTAGTCCTACGACCAATGGACATGGCACAAGACCGCATTCTTTATGAAGCCAATCCGTGTGACAGAGGTCAGGTTAGTAAATTGCCTTAGCGAGTGAAATCGACCAAGACAGGGCAGTAAATTCTGCAGTAACCTGTACCCTGATCTGGGTGGTGCTCACGTGGGCGTATACACATGTGAAACTTACTGAGCTGTGTACTTTCCTTTTTGTCGGTTGAACTTTAATACACATCTTTCGATGCAAATAAAACGTATGTATCTGTTGCAGGGAGTATGGCCGGAGTCGCAAAAGATGAGCCGGCAAACAAAGGGCAGTTAAGTGAAGGTCCTCGTACTCGAGTCGGAATGAGGCCCCAACTCCAGAATGAAGCTTCTTTTTATTAGGATAATTGCTGAAGACTATGTGCACAAAGTCAGCTAAGCGAGTGTGTTAATCAATCTAATGGTGTAGCTTCTCAGGGTTGTATGATTTTATTTATGGCTTGGAGATCAGTCGGCATTCTCCATTTTCCGGATTTCTTTTTGATGACAAAACCCGGAGAATTCCAGGGACTAGTTGAAGGCTCGTATATCCTTTGCCTCAATGATTCTACTGCTGGCCACTCTTTTTCTGTAGATGTATTTGCACGCAGAGAATATTACCTGTGTATAAGGTCATTTACTGCAACGTTTATCATAAGAGCGAAAGATCAGAAAACAACACCGAATGTCCATCCATAGGGGCTGGTAAAATAAAACGCAGCGCTTCCTGACTGTGCGGCCCGACACAGCTCTGCGGAAATAGAAGAGATTGCCGAGGCGTGTTTTGAAAGTGAGGAAAATGCAGGTGAAGAGATGCGTCAAGAGGGTGCTATCTTTGGGGCTAAAAAATGTAAAGAGAGATAAAGAGAGAGCGAGGGAGGGAGCGAGAAAGAGCAATTTATATAAGCGTAGAGTAACATACCTCTGGAAGGGCGTTTAGGAGACTCATGAGGTTGGTTGACTTTGAGGAAGGGACCTGGGTAGCTGGACTGGGTTGAAGGGATCTTTTCACTACATGCATTTCGTGCCGTTTGAACCTTGAACCTTTTAAGAATTTTGACTAAAAGAACTTAGAACCCTCACCTTCTCAAGGCCTCTTGCCGTGAGATAGGCTTTAAAGGTTCCCTTGGTCTCACTATAATCCCAAACCTAAGCCCCTTGCCCTTTCTCTGTGACACCTGCCACTCTCTACCTCCTGGTGCCTCTCGGAGGTGACATGACTCTCCTACCCGCACGGGGCCCTCGCACCTGCAATTCTCACTTCAGAAAATGCCTCTTCTCTGCCTGGTGTCGCCTCCTCCAGGAAGACTTCTCAGACGTCCCCATTATTCTGGGCTCCCACAGTCCACATTTCTCACGGGTCCTTTGTCGTGACGTTGGCAACGATCGGTTTCCAGTCCTCCGTGTCCTCCCGTGGTGTCGGCACCCCGGGCCTGGTAACAGGGTTTGCGGAATGAACCGATGGACGGTTTTTAACCAGGCTGGGAAACCGACCAACAGCTTTGTCTCTCCTACCGCCCTTGTTTCGTTTCTAAATTCTGCCTGAGCGGGGGCGCCGCCGCCTCAGTTTCCTCCTCTGTAGAGTGGAAATAACTAGGGTTCCTCCCTCCTAGGTCGCACTGTGAGGGTTACGCGAGTCATTATATGCAAAGCGCGTGCAAGCAGGTTTGCTCTCCGGACTTATTGATCGGCACTGTGTTGCGACACTTGCCAACCGGGCCACACGATGTTAGTGACCGAGGTGCCTGCTCTTTTGCCAACCGCCAGCACGGGGAGCCAGCCCGCGGGGGAGAGAGGATGTGGTTCTTGGAATGCCTGGGACCTCTCTGCTCTACCTAAGCCATCGAACTCCACTGAGGGCCAGAGCAGAGCCCCGCTGACCCCAGTCCTAGCAGTTTTCCACAAGCCGAGAAGGAAGGAGCCAGACCTACAGGCTGCCAGGAAGGCATGCCTTCTCTTCGCCTTTGGGTACAGAGAAGAAGTCTCCAGTCTCCCAGCCATGTCAAATCCCTGGTCTGCTGGAGCTGGGAAGGCCAGATACCGCGTATAAGTTTGGCTCCCAGATGCCTGAAATTCCTCCATTATCAGCACATGCCTCCACGGTAAGGGTGGCCCTGTGAAGTTGAAAGATCCCCCTCCCCCACCCAGGAGACATAGGAGAGGGAGTCCACACCGGGCTGGATCGGACCTGCCAGGACAACCTTGGTGGGAAGGCAGATTCTATAAGCTGGAGACAGGGCAGGTGCAGGGTTGAGGGGCGGGGGGAAGGAGAGGGAGAGAGGGGCAGACAGGTGCTTGAAGATGAAGCTCCCAACCTTGTGGAGGGCAGGAGGGAGTAAGGAAGGGACGAAGAGGGAGAGAAGAGCCAGGAAGAAGGGCGGACACTCAGGCCAGTGGCGGCCCTGGAGAGAAGGCATGGCCGGCCAGAGCTCCCTGATGGGAGGTCTGAACAAATCTGCAAGGACGAAGCTGACTGAAACAGCCTCAAAACAACCTCCCCCAACCCCTTTCTCCTTCTGCTGTCTCCCACCCCCAGCCCCATAACCACAAAGGAATGTCAACTTCTCCCCACTGGGAGGATCCCGGGCTGGGACTAGAACCAGGACGAATCAGATCCCCAGATCGGAAAGTACAATCTGACATGTGTCTTCAAAGGCAGCGGACAGGTGCACGGGGCCCTGAGCACTACCCCAGGGCTTAGGACCTCTGGTCTCCTTGCCAACCCCCACCCCCAGAAGGAGCACCGCCTTTAGGATCATTTCTGGGGAACCGGGGGGGAAAGTGAGGTAGAGAGACTCGGATGTCCCCAGATCCCTTGACTTGACTGCGTGACCCCAGGCAAGACGTTAACCTCTATCCTCAGTTTCCTCATCTGTAAATGGGGGCAGTTATAGTATCTGCTCTGAAGATTAAAGGGAAGGACTCTAGGGTCAGGTTTTGAGCCGAACCTTACAGGGCAGATCAGACTTTGACAGGAATTCCAGGCAGAGAGCAAAGGGCAGGGGGTGGAGAAGAAGCTGGAGCATACACCATGGTGGTGGAAGAAGATTCTGGAAAGGCAGGCGAGGGCTTGATCCCAGAGGGCCTTCACTGTGCCACTAAGGACCCTGGGATTTACCCTGGACCCAGTGGACAGCTACCCAGGGATCCTGCACTTGACAGAGGCCTTCGATGCCACGGTACGTGGTTTTTCCCAGGCCCCAGGTGGTGCCTGTGGTGACGTTTCAGCTGGTCAAATCACACTGGGCAGGAGCCACTTCCTTTATTTCGGTCAGCTCCTCCCAGCTGATCCGGACCTCTTCCCTTCTGCCCTAGACGCTTTCTGTTTCTATCCTGTGCCAGGACTTGACCTTGAAGGGAACCAGACCTGGTCTCAGACCCCAGTTCTGTGGCTTCTAGCCAGGAGACGGGGCCAACCCATCCAGCTACACGGACCCCGGTCTCCTCCTCTGAAACGTGGGGAAACGGCCCCGACGTCGTGGGGTGAAAGCAAGGGGCGCACGCAGGGTCCAGAGCCCGATTGGCCCACCCCGCGGCGCCGGCTGGCACCGGAGGGGGCCCCCTCGGCCGCGGGCAGGAGCCCTCGGAGGCCGGAGTCCCCTCCGCGGCCACGGCCATCCTCGTGTGCGGCTGGGAGAGCAGCCAGGGAGAGAATGGCCCGCGCCTGCAAACCTCGAGGCCAGGCTTAGGCCTGTTGGAAAAATAGGAAGCAACGGGGAATGCCAAGGAAACGGCTCTTCTCGGTTTGCTTTGGCAGAGCGCAGAAAACCCGCCCCGAGGCTGGATTTGAGAAGGCAGAGAAGAGTGTTGTGGACGCCACGTGTCCCGGGGAGAAGAACTTGTTTTCTGCGGACCTACTAAGTCCCGGGCTGGATACCTCCATGGGGAGCCTTGTGTGTGCAAGCACACGGGGGACACAGCGTGAGCACTGGCCACGGCCGCCGCCCCCCCGCCCCTCCCCCGCCCTTTCCGAAGAGCATCCCCACAGTGCAGGTGAGGAAACTGAGGTTTGGCGATGCAGCGGGCCTCGTCCAAGATCCCCAAGATCCGGGGCACGTGGGAGTCTTTCAGCCGGGCCCTGGGCTCCTCCATGCGCTCTGGTCCTCCTGCCCTGGTCTCCGGCCAAGGGGCCCAGCCCTTCACACGCTGCACCTTCCCAGGCCCAGGGAGGTGGAAAAGTGAGCGTGCCTTTCTCCAGATCCCCTACGGGAACGGCTCATAAGCCCACAGGGACCCCGAGCCTGGCACACCTCAGTGGTGGTGCTCAGAGTCGCTGTCCCAGGAGCCGATGTACAGCAGATCAGAATGTTGCCTTCAAAGGCCTGTGTGGTTTCCAAGTCAGTCCAGGGTCTGCCTGAGCAGCGCAGCCCGGGAAAACTCCCAGCGTGCACAGCTCCATCGATAGAAGGGCTCCTGGCTCCGGAGGGGCTCCCCAGAGACTCTTCAGCACTCAGTCTCTGGTCTGCAAGGCGCAGGAACATCCTGGGGGTAGTGAGCTCCCGACCCCATTGCTGGAGGCAACCAAGCCCAGGCTGGCTGAATGGGAACCCTGTTGGAGCCAGTAGCCGCCTTCCCCCGCCTCCAACCCCTCTGGGCCCTTGTGCAGAGTTGGCAAGGTCATGGAAACGTACAGAGGGCCCTGCAAGCTTGTGGGGTTCACATTACAGGTGGAGTGCTGAAATCCTGGGCAAGCCCTGGGACCCAGGGCTAGGGGTTGGCCAGTTTTTCATAACCTCATTCGTGCAAGGATAATGGGTCCCATTATCCTTTCACTGTCCCCCCCCCCAAACATCTCTAACATTTTCCTTATGCTAATTAATCAAACCTAAGGTAGAGGTAATAGCTAACTTTTTCACCAATTCGTTATATCGAGACCTGTGTTTTAAGTTTTTATTTAAATAAAAATTTTAATTTTCGAAAATGGATTTAAAAAAATTATTTACAAATTTAAATAAAACTTTAACATGTTGGCTTACTTAACGTACGGTGTGATATTAGCTTTAGCTCTGCAATATAGTGATTCAACACTTTGCTACAACACCCAGAACTCATCACAAGTGCAAGCCTATTTAACCCGTCACCCAAACACCCCCCCTCTGGTAACACCTGTTCTCTGGAGTGAGGACTCTTTCTTGGTTTGCCTCTCTGTCTCTCTCTGTCTCTCTGTCTCTCTGTCTTTTTTTGTTTTTTCCCTCTGCTCATTGGTTTTGTTTCTTAAATTCCACCTGTGAGTGAAATCACGTGGTATTTGTCTTTCTCTGACTTCTTTCCCTTAGCGGAATACTCTCTAGCTCCATCCACATTGTTGCAAGTGGCAAGATGTCGTATTTTTGATAGCTGAGTAATATGAGTAATATTCCAGCGCCTGTGTGTGTGTGTGTATGTGTGTGTGTGTGTGTGTGTGTGTGTGTGTGCATGTGTCTCACATCTTTCTTATCCATCCACCCGTCGATGGACATTCGGGCTCTTTCAATAATCTGGCTATCGTAGATAAGGCTGCTATAAAAATCCCAGGTGCCTGTATCCCTTTGAATTAGTATTTTTGTGTTCTTGGGGTAAATACCTAATAGTGCGATTGCTGGGTGGAGATACTTTACGGCAAATCGTCACTTTCTTAAAGAGGCAGGGTACCATTTCAGCGGCATCCATGGATCTTAGCAACATGAGCGTCACCCCAGAGCTCATTAGAAATGCACATTCTCGGGCCCCTCCCCAGACTGTGAAGCATCAGAATCTGTGCTTCCGTAAGATCCCTAGGTGATTTGTATGCCCATGTGAAAATTTTAAAAGAGGTCTAATCATGATTCTCGTACAAATATGAAATGAATCTGGGCCAAAGATTTTATTTCATGCGTCAATGAATGAGGAAACCACTAAGATGTTGTAATCACCTCAAAAGACAGTTCAAAGAGTAGACACATGTATAGGTCATCGGGAATCTGAATTGAATTTACAAACAGATACAAAACTGGCCAAAACTCCATAGGACAATAATCAATGGCAGTGCACGGGGCATAATCTGCATTTC